CACCCACACCCACACCCACCCACACCCAAAAAACCGATTTTAAGATATGATCCGAGAAGTCGAAAAAATGGGGTCCCTGCTATTTTCTTATAGATAAGTCAAAATGAGTTGATATTTTGGTTTCCTAAGTAACTTTTTATGGGCTTTCGAATGAGATGATCAAAATCGAAATCTAAAATTTTTCCGCCGCCACTATGGTTGGTATTCTGGTGGACTCTCTCTTAAGAATCTAAAACGATCTAGTTTCTATTCATCACGTTATTCGATCTGAAATATATCACATATGTTCAATTTTTTTTAATCTTTATTCCTATGTAATACAAATAAAGAAAACAATAGCCATTTTCCTATTTATTTATTTATTTATTCATTTTTATGCATTATTACAAAATGTTCAGACTTTTGATCATATTCAAACTGATGATCTAGATCAAAATGATTTGATAATATACTTAAACAACTTAAACTTAAATGTGCATGTTTTGTTATATAAGCATACCAATAAGACGATAAAGAAGGTAATATAGCATCAGGTTCTGTTTGCTCAGATTGTGTTTCATTTATATTATTATTATAATCAAAAATAATCGAATCAGTTGGAGAAATAAAAAAACTAGGAAAATATTTTGATTGATTTCCTTTAATATAAGATTGATCATTGGTTGATGAATGATGAATAGTTGTATGAATAACTGTTGGAGGTGAATCAAATTCAAGTTCTTCAAGAACAACTCCCGCTATCCAATTGGTATAACGTTTTAATGCATTTATATCTGCTTTAATATGATCACCAAAATAAATAACTACAGGATCTTTATTACTTATTTGACTCATAATATAATGTAAATCTTCACTATTACCTAATGAATAAATATAATTTTTATTAAAATTTTGAATTATTTCTTCATTAGTAACTGGTATCATATTATTTTCATCAATAAATCGATGAAATGATCGTTTTTTTGTATTAAGAAAAAATGAAGGTTTTTTAGAAACAACAATAATAAAATCAAATAAATCTTTCCAATCATCACCCAATGCGTATGTTGCTAATAAATCTGTATTGTTAAAACTTGAATTTGTTGCTAAAAATAATTTTTTATTTAATTTTTTTAATTTTTCTAACCATTGTCGAACATCTAAACGCCGATAAATATATTTATCGGGATTTGAACGTAATGATGCAAAATAATTGCCTCGATTAAAATCATAATATAAATGTTCAGATCCCTTCTTAAGATGTATTAAAAAAAACTTATATTTATTTTCTAAATCAATTTGATTTTCTGAAGAATTTTCATATAAATTTTCTTGATCGATTAAATCCACAATATTCGCAATTAAATATGATATACCATGATCAAAATAAGTAAACATACATAAAAAACGTTCACTAGTATCTTCTTCAATATCTTTTAATGTATTTGAATAAATTTCTTTTGTTTCTTCAGTTGTTAACCGTCTATGAACACCATGTAATGCAGTATTAACAAATCCATTTGAATTTAATTGAATTAAATTTCCATAAAAACTATCATAAATTAATCCTTTAACACTAAAATAATTATCGTAGGAAAGTGGAAGTAGACGAGAATTATATTCATAGGTTTCAGTAAGATATTGACGCATTGATTCATAAATTAATGCATGAAGGTCAGGTAAACGATAACGGATTAATGTATGGTCTAAATCAAAACCTATCCAATCACATGATAATAATGAAAACGTTTTCTTTGTTGATGACGAAGTCATTTTATTATTAATTATGCAATCACTCTATCCTTCAAAGATGACCAACAAAGGATATACCAGTTTATAATATCTGAAATAAAAACATATATGATGCCATGATTGGTTCACATATATAAGCAAGCAAAATACCAAAGAATAGTAACTTTATGTATAAATCTACTCTCTTTAGTGTTACACTCAGAGCTGCTTACTATAATTATCGTAAACATTCACAAATGATTGATTGATTGACATGACCATGAGACATAAAACTATATGTATGAAAAGCAAAAATAGATCAACACGATGCCACGTGTCTTAGAAAAAGAAAAAGAAAAAGAAAAACAAAAAAGGAATGGCAAGAGGCAGAAAGTAAGCAAATATGGCGAAAGAGGCGAATGATGTCATAAAGAAGAAAAGAGAAAAAAAAGAAAGTCACGTGAAAGTGAGTTACAAAGAAATGAAAACAAATGACACGTTTCAGATGAATAGAAATTCAAGCCATTGAAGAGGAAATGACTGATGTCTTTCACACGTATATCTCACCCGTTTTATTCGAAAGGAATGTTCCAAGTAGTCATTTTTAATAGAATATTGAAAATTAATAAATGCAATAGTGGTAAAGTTAGAAGAAACTATTTCATATATCGTAAAAAACAATGCAAGTGATGATAAAAGTAATAATAATTATCACCAATTACTAAGTAAAAGGGATAAAAAGTATTAGCAATAAGACACTCGTATTCAAGAGATAATTAGAAGGAAGCATTTCATAAGCTGATTCACCTAAGAAACTTCTAATAAATGGAAGAAAACGCATATGTGCGTTTAATATTATAGTCCACGCAAATTGAAAGTATACCCTTCGAGATTTTGTGTTTTCATTGCCATAACTTGTTTGTTTTTAAACTTATTATATATAGGGAGAAAGTCCAGAAGACGCTGTATTTGATGGAACATTTATGTTAAAGAACAGATGTAGTTTGAAGTATAAAAAAGGTATTTGAAAATATAGTAACATTTTTTATTTTTCTACCATCCATTCACATTTATTATTCGTTTGAGAAATCAAGAAGAGTAAGAATTTTTGGAATAACTTCTGATAGAAACAAGATAGAGACCTATGGTATTCACCATTCGAAAGAGGAGATGAAACTGCATTGGATCTCATATTTCAGATGTTCCTGATAATTTGTATCGGAAGGTTTTAACCAAGTTCTTTAAGATTTTTGCTACTTCTAGAGAGAAGAAAATAGGGTTTTTCTCAAAGAATACGGGAAATAGTCAATTTTCCAAAAGACCTGGCGGAAGTCTTCCGGTAAAAGTTGTCAGGAACATCTGAAATATGAGATCCGATGCAGTTTCATCTCCTCTTTTGAATGGTGAAAACCGTAGGTCTCTATCTTGTTTCTATCAGAAGTTATTCCAAAAATTCTTACTCTTCTTGATTTCTCAAACGAATATTAAATATGGATGTATGGTAGAAAAATAAAAAATGTTACTATATTTTCAAATACCTTTTTTATACTTCAAACTACATCTGTTCTTTAACATAAATATTTCATCAAATGCAGCGTCTTCTGGACTTTCTCCCTATATATAATAAGTTTAAAAACAAACAAGTTATGGCAATGGAAACACAAAATCTCGAAAGGTATACTTTCAATTTCCATGAACTGTATATATAGATTGTTGGCAATGAACCATTTCTGACGTCATCAGTTATAGTTTGTGGCGAAAGAGGAGAGGAAGAGCACTTCTTTCTATTCTTAATGACGTATTCATGCTTCAACGACTGGGCTTCGAATAGGATGGAACGAAAAAATCGTCCCATGGGACAGATCGATTTTTCCGGTCCCATCCGTCCCATCCCATCTCATGTGATTCCATGGGAGAACACGTCTAGTAGAAGAGAATTTTTTGAAACTTGAATCGATTTCCATCGCTATTTATCCAACAAGCAACACTCGTCGCTTCGATTCGCTTAGCTCTTGACTGAATACGATATCATATTCAATTTTTCAGACACCGTGTAGCAATAGAAGTTCACAAAAATTATACAAAAACGCAAAGTACTTCTTCAAAATTCTACTAGAAACTTGTATACTTTCTAGAACATTCATTGAGAAGGCTGTCTCCTATAGAGTTCTCTAAGAAAGTAGAAGATCAGTAAAGCCCCTGGCTTAAAATAAATTATATTAAGGCCACCGCCCCCCCCCCCTCAAAAATCGATCTCAGCTCCGGAACATCGAGATAGCATGAATCTTTGGGGATATGTTGGAGGTGTAAAAGTACGTCTATGGTAAAATTTTCAGCCTCCTATCCTGATGTATAAGGTAGATACGAACCAAACAAGGGTCGAAAAATAGCTTATCGCATACGCACAAAACCTCGATGGGTGTTCATTCAATATGGTTCATTGTTTTTTCATTTGAAAGAGCATGTCAGAATGCAGTGCCTATGAGAGCCCTTTTTTTTAAATTCTTATCTTTAATAAGAAAAAAATGGTTCACAAATTCAATCACTCAAAAATCCCTCAAAAAAATGATGCTTATATTATAAAATCGCTTTTCAATATAATAATAGGAAAGCTTAATCAAAAAAAGGACCCTCATAGGCACTGCAGTTTTTGATGCTCTTTCAAACAAAAAAAAAATATTTGACTTTATATCGGATTGTAATTGACTTTTGGTGGGGCTACGTAATTCGACCACCATTTTGAGAAAAAGCGAAAAAGATTTTTGGATTTTTCGAAAAACCAGCGGTTTTTCGAATAGGGGTTGTCAAAAATATTGAAAATTTTTCGGAAAAAAGGAGGTATCGAAGAAAAGTTTATATCGTTTATGAAAGAGCAAATGACAGGCTATCTTCCCATGTATTTATCTCAATCTTGACCATTCTGACGAAAACTAACTTTTTTGAGGGGGGGGGGGGGGGGGCCTTAAAGAAAATTAAATTTCATTAACATCGCCAATCAGGAATACATTGACTTCTTGAATGAGATCTTCGAGTATAACCACGTTTACAAAAGCAACCTTGAACACATTGATATGTACATGGTTTGAAATATCTTGCATGTCTTACATCAGTACATGTAAGAGGACAAGCAGAATCACACATTTGATATTCTTGATGAGCACCTAAACATAATCGTCCAAATACAAATCCTAAAAGATCAAAGTTTCATAATATACAGATGAATAACACATAGAAATATCATGTATTTGAATGGTAAAAGCGGTTAGAAATAAGATTAATAATAGACTGACATGCACAGGCATAGTCATATCTAAGATGTAAATGAAATGTGATATTTGTTTGAAATGATTTCTCGATTCAAAATGAAAAAAAGAAAAGAGAAGAAAGAAAAGTATATATAGACAATACACTGATAACAACGATTGATGAGAGGTCGAGTGTATAATATACAATTCATTTCATTCTTCTTTCAACTCTTCTACAAACAATCGATGTACACTTGAATTGTCAAGAATATCTGTATGATAATTATTAACTTGATTTCAAAACAATGAAAATAAATCTGTCATTTTTATTATTAACATTAGAAGATTAAAAAAAGATAGACATAAGTGAAGGACTACATCAAAATAAAATAGTTTTTCGTTCTTTGGATAGAGTTACATGCTACCGTCACATGTTAATGACAATTAACAACTTAAAAAAAAATACTATTATCAATAAAACAGTAAAACAATACATCTTTGTAATGTAAGAACTAGAATAAATAAAAACAGTATGGCTCAACTATTTTTCTAAAAATGTAATAAATGTAATAATATTCAAAAAAAAAATCGAAGTTTTTTTTGTTCAATGCAATTCTTTCTAACATTTCGATCGTTCAATACAAGCACTGTTAGTACTGTTGTCTTTGCGAACATAATTAGGCTCGCAGAAACAACCTTGAACACATTGTTCTGTGCATATTTCTGGCTTATGATCACATCTTTCAGGACAAGCGGTACCACAATTTGTATATTTTTCGTTTTGATCTTGGCAACATTTCTCTGCCTCGACACATTTACCACCTTCTGTGCGATATAAGCCTTTTTTGCAAAAACAACCAGGAACACATTGTAAAGTGCAGAATTTGGGTTTTTGTGGATACAAAAGATCCTGACAAATTGGTGGACATGATGAACCACATGGATCATATACTTCATCTGTACTACATTTGAACGGTGGTGGTTTCTTTGGACATTGCTTCTTTAGAATACAAGGACTGTTAGTACTGTTGTCTTTGCGAACATAATTAGGTTTGCAGAAACAACCTTCAACACATTGTTGTGTGCATATTCCTGGCTTATAATCACATCTTTCAGGACAAGCGGTACCACAATTTTTGTATTCTTCGTTTTGACCTTGGCAGCATTTCTTTGACACGACACATTTACCACCTTCTGTGCTATATAAGCCTTTTTTGCAAAAACAACCAGGAACACATTGTAAAGTGCAGAATTTGGGTTTTTGTGGATACAAAAGATCCTTACAACTTGGTGGACATGATGAACCACATGGATTATATACTTTGTTTTTACCACAGTTCAACGGAAGCGATTTCTTTGGACATTGCTTCTTTAGAATACAAGGACTGTTAGTACTGTTATCTTTGCGAACATAATTAGGTTTGCAGAAACAACCTTTAACACATTGATATGTACATATTTCTGGCTTATAATCACATCTTTCAGGACAAGCGGTACCACAGTTTTTGTATTCTTCGTGTGGATCACATTTATCATTAAATTTTGACTGAATAGAACCAATAGAATCTACAATTGAAAAGAAAAAACAAATTAAAATTATCAAGAAAAAAAATTGATCCGCAAAATATTACTTCCTTGAATATAGGCAATACCAATTATCAATAACAGCAGAATCCGAATATTAAAGACAGAATGCATGATAATATACTATGTTAAATAATCGAATAAAAATATGTAAAGATGTTTGTTGTATTTATACTTTGTAAAACAATGAGTAAAAGTAAGTCGGATGTAAACCTAAATAGAAACTACTATGCACTTGGAGGTTTTTTGTCATGAATCCGGTAATAAGAACGCATGAGTATGATAAGATTATTCATAATCATATTTCGTAAGAAAACAACAAAAATGATTAATCATAATATTGGCCTATTATTAATACCGAAGTGAAGTCATTTAAGAACGATATTCCCTTATTAATAAACGGAGGATATCCGAGGTCAGGATTCGAGTATTTCCTCTCGCGATTCGCGATACGCCCGATTCCAACTAAGATCACACTGGTTCCAAGTAGAACTCGATGAGCTCTATCCAACGCACTAGTTTTTTTCGAAAACAAACAATCCTTTCTGGTCAAAACCCTGTTTTTCCGCAAAAAAAACAAGAAAAAAAAAGAAAAAACAACATAACCAAACCAAAACCACTCGCGATTCGCTCAGGAACCGATTCCAACAAAACTAACACTGGTTCCAAGTAGATCTCGATGAGCTCTATCTAATGTACCCCTTTTGAGCTCAAATCAATGCACCTATCGCTTAGGAATCGGCCTACAAGGCCAGAAACCGGGCTTTTCTTCGGGAAAACCTGTCACGATTC